AAGCAAATTTTTGTGCCAAGCCATCAAGGTCCCTAACCCCTAACAACTCACAGGGGAGGGAAGTCTGGCAGCAGGACTGCCCATCATTCAGGATTCAGACAGAGAAGATGACCTGGTGGTAACTGGAACCATCCAACCCTTTAAAATTGAAGGAATATTGACTGTTACCTGCACAGGCATAGAAAGGCTCATAGACATTATTGACACCGGCAGTTCACGATGCCTCATTAGCCCCCAGTCTGTGTGTACCCTAGGCATAGAGACTAAAGCATTAACTACCCCCATTCAATTCCAACAAGTGGATGGATCCATGATAGGGGGAAGTCCGGCCATGCTCATCACTGAAAAAGTAAAACTAACTGTAGGGAAGCACTGGGAGTGAATCCGGTTCATAGTAGTGCCCAAATGACCCAATCAGTAATCCTGGGTCTTGCCTGGCTAGACAAATGGTGACCAACTATAAGCTGGTAGGGCGGCTATAGGAGAATTAAATTAGCACTCTGTCCTGAGCCACCTCCTGAACAGGACAACAACCACATTGACAACTCAGGATTACAGGACAGCCATGAGGATTCAACAGTAGTGTTGGCTGATCAACCCCCAAGGATTCCTCGAATCTCAATCCAATACTGTGACCTAGCTGAGGTTATCAGTGAGGAGGAATACAATGTGGTACTCCCCAATTGCCACACTGACTGTGCCATAGAGTTTATAGAAGGGGCAAAATTACAAAAATTACAAAAAGTCAAAGATGTACACCATGACACCTAAGGAAATAAAAGAGCTACGAGACTACATAGACTCAAATCTAGCCAGAGGTTTCATCCAACCAGCAAAATCCAGAGTGGCAGCCCCCGTGCTATTTAAAGAGAAAAAAAAGATGGGTGTGGGAGGGTGAGATTATGCATGGATTTTAAAGTAATTAATACTGTGAGTATTCACATCACCTACCCTCTACCACTCATAAAAGACATTTCAGGACACTTAGCAAAAGGGAAAGTGTTTACCAAACTAGACCTCCACGAAGCGTATTACTGAATCTGCATCAGAGAAGGAGATGAATGGAAGACTGCTTTCAATTGCCCCTTAGGCAGCTTTCAATTCAGGGTAATGCCATTTGGATTGCAAGGAGCCCCAGGGGTTTTCATGCAACTGATAAATGATGTACTACAGCAATATTTGTATAATATACTATAATATTTGTATAATATGGCGCTTCCATTGACGACAGTCAGAGACCGCGATCGTGCATGGCTCGGGTCCGTGTTTCCCTTGTCGGAAGGGTCCTTACAGGACCGGTGTCCTGACCCACCTCGGAGATGTGGATGAAGAGGGGGAGACCACCAGCTGGGTCGAGGGGAGCCGCATCTCCCCTCACTGGCTATGTATTTCTTCCCTGGAAGACAGGGAGAAATGGCTGCCCTGAAAACGGAAAGGTGCTGGGATTTAAGTTTTGTGCTGGAGCAGTGAAGTGGTGAATGACGTGCAACCAGATAAAAGAACTTGATTTTCTTTTTTCTTAATAACCCCGAGAAGTAGAAAGTGTCCTCACGTAAGAGTAACACAGCGGCAAACAGAAAAAAAAGAGAAAAATACAAGGTAAACAAAATTGGTTCATAAAAAGCTATAATGAAATTGAAGACTAAACTTTGAATGATATAAATTGGCATTAATTAGGCATTTGATTAAATGCTGGACTTTCCTGGAATTGGTTAATTAAATGCTGGACTTGCCTGGAATTGGTTAATATCAAGAAAATTAATTGTGGAAATGGTTGGAAATTATTGTTTAATATAACTAAAAGAGAAAAGAAAAGAACTTTAAAAAGTGGAAAGTGATATAGAGCACCATCTAATAGTCAAAGACTTTTTCTTCCTACAAAATTATATGGAAAATTACTGGACTTATAACTGTTATGAAAGAAAAGACAAATAAAATAATAAAAACCCCAGAAATTTTGAAAAAAGGGGGAGAAATTCTACCAAGAGGATATATAAATGCAATTTACTGGGACTGTTGGGTGTTGATTGTGACAAAGACAGAAGGATTAACAAAAGAAATAAAGATAAAAGGAGACTTTTGGCAAGGATTGCAAAAAAAAGACTTTGAATATTAATAATTTACTATAAAAATGGAAGAAATAAGCAAAGACTTTAAGTTGGAATTACAAATGGTAAAAGGAATGTTGAAAGAAAGAAGGGAATTATTGGAAATATTGGAAAAGAAAATAATGGTGATGGTTGAAGAACAAAGAAATTCCAGCGAGGCGGAGTTAAAGGAAGAAGAAAGAGGCTCAGACAGACATGGAGAACAAGAGACATTGCCAAAAAACCCTAAAAGAATTAAAGCTATGATATTGATGACTGACTTAATAAATAAAAGAGAAAACGCTCCCAGGATTAAACAAAAGAAGAAGAAATTATACAAGAAGAAACTTCAAAAAGAGAACAGGAAAGCGGGGGGGAGAGAAGATGGGTGAAATGTTAGAAGGAAAGAAGGAAGACCAGGGAAATTTAGAAAGGGAAAGTTGGCTAAAATTAAAATAAATAATAAAGCCAAAAGGATCAAAACAAGGGAATGGAAATGAATTTTTAAAAAAGATATGATTATCAATGATTATAAGTAAAGTAACGATAAAATGAGAGATATTAAGAAGCTTATTTTAGTGATTTATTGGAGGGAATATATACAGTTGAATATATACAGTTGATTACTTAATAGATATTAGAATTGTATAATGAGAATATTCTATTATGATTAAAGTAGGGGAATGGGAAATACCATGTGGATCCTAAATATATTGGTTTTATCTATATTTTTACTCTTTAGATTGTTTATTATATATCGGCTTAGAGAAAACTAAGGATAATAATGATGTGTAATGTAAAATAAAATAGGTGGTTAGCTGAAAATGGAAATAATAGGGGATAAAGATTTGAAAACTTATATATGGATGAAATGATATTGATATTGAATTAATGAATTGAAATATGAAATGCAAATGTATTTAAAGATGAGTGAAATGGATAATGATACGAGTTAATATTATATAAGATTAATGGAAATGAAAATATGACTATGTACAAGTGTTATAACCTGGAAACATGTTGCTCACGTGAAAAGATGCATACAATTAAAAAAATAAAAAACTTTTGGGAAAAAATATTTGTATAAAGGAGTCCTGGTTTATTTGAATGACATTCTTATTTACAACAAAACTTTAGAAGAACACATCAAGTTAGTGAGAAAACTGATAAGAATTTGGATGCAAAGCTGTATGTGAAATTGTCCAAGTGCGAATTCCATAAAGAGTCACTAAATAATCTTGGCTATCGCATTTCAAATCAGGGGATAGAAATGGACCTGGCAAAAGTGAAAGCAAGTATTGGCATTACCTAAAGTTGAACAAGTGGAAAGAAGCCATGGACAAAGAAATAAAATCCATGGCTGAACATAAAGTATTCGCATCTATGACTTTGCCACAGGGTTGCAAAGCCGTAGGATGTAAATGGGTATACAAAAAGAAAGTACTAGCCAACAATGACGTCCAATATGAGGCAAGATTAGTGGCACAAGGTTTTTCACAGAGGAAAAACGTACACTATGATGAGGTATTTACGCCTACTGTAAAGAGTGAAAGCATAAGGTTGGTGGTACTAGCATTGGCAGCAGCACGTGATCATAAAATTTGGCATTTTGATATAATCACAGCATTTCTCAATGAAGAATTAGAGGAAGAAATTTACATGGTTCAAGCACCAGGGTATGAAAGAAAAAATCCTAACACTGTATAAATTGAACAAGGCCATTTATGGGCTGAAGCAGTCAGCCAGAAATTGGAATATCTATTTAAATACGGCATTGAAGGGTCTTGGGTTCAAGAGTTGCAAGGCTGATGGTTGCATATATATTGGAAAGTTACAAGATGGGGGTTGTCAATTGTTAGCATTTGTGGATGATCTTTGTTTCATTGCAAAAGATGTGTCACAGGTAAAAGAATTTGCTAATCAGAGAAGTTTGAATTGAAAAATTTGAGTGATATACAAAATTATATTGGTGTAGAGATACAAAAAAACTGAGAAAGGTGGCTATGTTCTCAGTCAAAGAAGAAAAATTTGCCCTTTCTAAGAAAAGGTGTGATTGGAATGACTTGAAACTAATAAATGCTATTTATACAGATAACCAGTGACTTCTAATCATTAAGAAACAGATCAAAAGCATGCCTTCAGGGGACCAAATCCTCAATCTAATGAAGACACTTCCCATGGGTATTGATCTTGATAGACTATGAAAAATCCAAAGATCTTCCATAAATTGATTCCTCACAACAGTTTAACAAAATCAGGTTTTGGAAACTATTTTCTGATCATTCTTAAATATAGTACATATTTATTACCTAGACTAAATTACCTAGACAATAACTAAGTGGAATCAGTAAAATGCTATGCTGCTTTTTTGCTACTAATCCTTTACCCAACCAAAATGTCAAAATGTCATAACCTAAAGTATCAAACATGACTGAGACATCAAAAGGAGAAAAGAGGAATATTTTGTATCAATTACTAACCAATCTTTGTTCTTTAAAGAAGAAATAATTGTGTTGGAAGCATAATTGAAATAATAACAGAAATATTTCTCAGATACTTTTATCAGTTTTGAAATAAGATAGTGTCACACAAATATTTAACATTTAGAGAGCTAATTTACTATAAGTGTCAGCCAGCCTGTAGCTTGCTGCCATGAAAATGGGGTCAGTGGAGAATTTTTCTTTGCAGCTTTGCAACTAAGGTCTGGGCTTTGCTTATCTCGCCAAAGTAATTTCTTCTAGGTTCAGTATGCAACTTTACTTTTTAATTTGATGAAAACTGCAGGAACTTTCAGAGTCAGTTTTCACCAGTTGTGCCAATATTATGATTCCAATAAATCGTTCCTTGAGGAATCTACCTGCCTTGGAGTTCTGCTTTCTATGGGTGCATTATACTTGGAACACTGACACTTACGAACTGAAAACAACTCCTAACACTGGGTTCAATATTACTGCCACCAAAAGAAGCAACTTCTCCCAGCTGCCTTGGAATCTGGATAGAGTCATGTAGGAGGAGACCCAGATGACGTTGATCGCAGAATCCAGTGGGACTAGCTACTTGCTTGAACAGATCTAAAAACATGGAATAAAAAATATGGTGAAAATTCATGTAACCAAACTGGAGTATATTGCACATGATGTTACTAAATTATAGCAATAATCTAGACAAGTACAAGGCATGGGACTTTACATTATACTCTGAATCTTTTATTTATCTTGGTGTAACAATTTCCAGGAAACTTTGTCAAATGGCAAATACAGTGTTTCCAAGAAAAAAAATGCATTCTATTACAAAGATGCATCAGGCCCAGGGACTGTTAAAAGTGGTATCACAAGTAAAATTCAACTGACTATGAATTTGCTACACTGCATGTATTTTGAAGTGAATATACAACACACCTGTAACAGAAGGAAGACCAGTTTGAAAAGACCTGAAATATTTATTTGACATTAATGTAGTTGCCAAAACATGATCTGAATAATCTTTATTTTTCATGGTGTAAGAAACATTTCAGTGCAATGAAAAAATAATATGGTTTTACTTTTACATCTTCTTTAATATTTCAGTAGGAAAGTTCTCATGTTGTATATACCTGTTTTTAGAAGAGCTTTTATTTTCTCTTTAGTTGCTAAAATAAATATAATTCCCAATCAAATTTTAGTATTCAATCTACAATTTCCTGCAGACTCTTTCAAAGCCCTAGAAAACCTCCATGTGTCAGGTTATCAGTGCATTTTTGGATTTACTATAATTTGCTTACCATTTAGGTAAGAATACTAAAAGGAGATATATACGGAAAATAATTAGAAGATATGTTCGATATACTATGAGATTTTGTTGGTCTTCAAGAAGAATTTGCAACTTGGCTTGCAAATAAGATTAATAATTGTGACAAGCCAGTTTCTTGTAAATACATGGCAGTGTCTATGTGACCTTCACCAAGACAAAAGAAATATCAATTCTGCTCATATGAGGGATTAAACTCGCTCCTGCATTCTAGCAGTAATAAAATAAGATCCTCAGGATACAAGGCTAGGATACTAGGTGGATACCTGTAGCTAAAGGACAAGGTGTAATGTGAAGTTTTTTAAAAAGTTTAAGAATAAAGAAAAAAAAAGAAAAAAACCCACACTGAAAAATAACAATTGTAAACAAAATAGGCTGATAAATATGCTAATGAAAATAGTAAAAATAATAATAAAAAAGAACCCAAGAAGGAGTTACACTAGTCATATAGGATACTAACCCGATACCTGTGCTTCGCTATAAAACTTTTTGGTCGGGCTTAGTTTTTGGGGAGGAAAATAAGGGGGAAAAATCTGCCTCTGCCTACCAGCATCCATCGGTATTCATCTGACTAGCATCCTGTCAGTGTGTGAGAGAGCTGAGGGCTGTTTGGAAACTGAAGCAGTATTTGCTGTGTGAGCAAGGAGACAGCAAGGAGCCTGGGCGTGGCTTAGCTCAACTGTTCTGTACTAAAGCTTGGTGCTGTGAAACTAAAACTGAAATTGAAACTCCTCTGCTTGTGTTTTGCATTTGGAACAGATTTCTTTTCAGGTGGGGAGGGGGAGTAGAACTCCTTAGCATCAGAACGTGTTAATATATAAAATAATAATGCTCTGATGGTCATTTCGAGAAAGAGGAACATATGTGCCAAATTTCAAGTTTGTAGGCTTTACGGTTCTGGAGATTTTGTGGTGATGCATGAGTAGTATTTCATTTTTATATACTGTATATAGAAAAAGAAGATAGAAGAAGAAGATACAGGGATGGAAGCTCCCACCAAGAATTCTGTAGGCTTTGAAGGTTTACAAATGGGATTGCATAGCTGTGTAACACATCTGTGTCAATAACAGAAACTATTCCATTCCTTTTAATGACTCTAAGGTAGTTTACATTTAAAAAGTAACAACAATTAATGAAGAAACAGATCATAATAGATAAGAAAGATAATGAAGGCTCAGGTTACTTCTCTTTTGAGTTTAATAGTGGAGAGAAATGTGTATTAGAAAATCACTTTAGAAGCAATGTCATGATGTATCTGCATTGAATATTTTTTAAAAATGGGGAATCACAATCTATATATTTAAGCCATCTAGTGCATGTGTATTTTTCTTGGGATCCTGGCTTATTCCTATCACAGGTCATTCAGCGACATTCTACAACTCGTTACTTGTGAACTATAAAGACCATAATCGCCAATGAGCTAAACTAGATGACATTAAGTAACATTTAGTGCACAACCTGCATAATATATTTTAACTAAGTTTTGCTAAAAAAAATGAAAAGTTAATTTGACCTAATATTTATGTATCTTCATACCAAATGGCAGAAATTATAAAACACAATCATTACTTACATCTGTATTTATCTTCCAAATGTGCTTTACACAATGAAATTATACCAGTTTTAAGAGACAGGACTCGGATCCTTCCAGTTCGACCCCTATTGATATTAAAGAAATAAATAAATAAGCAATAATGTAGATCCAAATAATAATACCTATATCTAAGCTTATTAAAATGCTAGAAATAAAAAAGAATTTCCAGTTCTAGCACAAAAACAAAATAAAAAAGATCAGAGGAATAGTTTATATTGGAGTAAGTACATACCATGTTTTCCCGAAAATAAGACAGGTCTTATTTTCTTTTTAGCCCCCAAATAAGCACCATTTTCGGGGAATGTCTTGCTCGCTTACCTTACGATCACCACAGCCACACCTCCCACGCCCCGACACCTGTTGCACTGATTATTCTTCAGCTGCTCACAACTGCTCATGGCAGGACACCATGTGGCTCATCGACCATGTAGCTCATCGTGTCGGTGCCGTTACTTGCAGCAGGAGGCTGAGAGGCTCATCACGTGGGTGCTGCCATTCACGGTAGAATGCTGCATGGCTCGTTGCTCTGGTGCCGCCTCTTGCATCAGGAGACTGTGTGGTGCCTTGTGTTGTTGCATGCGTGAGCGATGGCACTGATGGGATATACCATGCGGTGTCCTGCTGCAAGTGGTGGCACCCGCACGAGCCACATGGCATTCTACCATGAGCGGCATGCATCCTGTTGCAAGCGGTGGCACCAGCACAGCATGCCATGTGGCATCCTGCCACAAGCAGAGGCACTGGCATAACAAGCCACGCAGTATCCTACCATGAGTGGCAGCACCCGCACGATGAACCTCACGGCTTCCTGCCGCAAGCAGTGGCACAGTGTGATGAGCCACGTGGCATCTGGCTGCGAGTGGCCTCAGAAAAAGTTGGAAAGCAGCATGACAGGTATCAGGGTGTGGGAGGCTTGGATGTGATGGTCCTAAGGTAAGCAGGTGCAGGGTGCTTGGGGCAGCTCCACCCCCCACCCCCCCACACACACTCTAGCTTGATTTTTACACCTGCACCTCACCCAACTCATACAACCAAATGGTCGGCGGAGTTTAACTAGGGCTTTTTGGGGGGTGGGGTTTATATTAGGTGCAGACATGAAATTTGGTCTAGGGCTTGTTTCGGAGTGGGTTGTATTTTTGAGGAAACCCAGTACAATGTACTACGTATGAGTAATTATATTCATACAATTTTAGAATAATTTGTATGCTGAAACTTTTTGTAATATTTTCAGAGTTAAAAGCATTTTCCTAAGTCATAAATATAATCCATTTCCAATTCTGAATAGAATTCTGCATATACAATTAGACTTGTATATACACTTAGTTTATGAGAAGTAGCTTACAATGAAATGTACTTAACATAGTTACATTTTGGCACCAAAAATATTTAATAATTGTATTAGTATTTGAATAGGACAATAAAACAATTGAAAACAATTAACAAGTAATAAGTTCTAATTCTAGGGTCATACAGAATTTCAAAATTGAATGGTGTAATTAATTTTATTGTTTTTAAGATAGAGGATGGTAACTTTCAACAACTCTTTGTGAATTTCAAAATAATCCCAAATTTTCTCCCATTAAAACAACTATCAGTTGTTATTTTGTTAAAAAAATGAACAGTGGTTTATTACAATCAACTGGTACAGAAAACTACTGAGACCTACGTGTCATAAACATTCAAAAGCCAGTTGAGGCACATATCTACACATAGAGGGACGTTGACTAGGTTATTGTGCTCTTGTTCCAATTTATCATAAATGGTAGTCAAGCAGTTAATGATCTGAAGTATATCAATTGGTTGGTCATTCTGTTTGAGGTTGTGCTGATCCAAGGCATCGCATGCAGCAGACAGATTCAAAAGATCCACTGTAATGACAAAAAAAAAAATCCTAATAGGAAACAGCTCTGATAAAATAATCATTTAAACTCAGCAACAGTTAAAATACAAATATATTAAATTGAAGATACAAATTTTAAATTTATCGTTAGTGTTTTCTACTTATTGTTTTTTCTAAGCAAACGAACTCAAATTTTGTAGCACAATTGCAGTTTAAAAGCTGTTTCTTGTTCAACAAAAATTTATCAGTCACCTTCCTGGGATCATGAAGAGACATTACCTCTAATACAGAATTTATTAGTCAACTGGAAATACAATATATCATTTTTTAAAAAGGAGTTTAAGGTTAAGTGTTCACAGCTCCAGTGGGAGGCTGAATCAATGATGAGTGAACCCTTCAAGGACTAAGCAGCAGAACTGGTGGGAGTGGGATGGGGGTAGTGCATCCATCCTTGCCTTACTTGACCTCTCAGCAGCTTTTGATACCATTGACCATGGGATTCTCCTGGGGCGGCTTCAGGGGATGAGAGTGGAAGGCCTTGTGCTGTCTTGGTTCACTTCCTTCCTCTGTGGCCACTCTCAGTCAGTGTTGATAGGAGGGGAGAGATCCAGCCCTTGTCCACTGCTTTATGGGGTTCCACAGGACTCGGTACTCTCTCCGCTCCTGTTCAACATTTATATGAAGCCGCTGGGTGAGATCATCCGTCACCATAGACTGAGGTATCACCAATATGCTGATGATACTCAGCTGTATGTCTCAGCCTGTGGTGAGTTAAATGTTGCTGTGTCCTCCCTCTCGCAGTGCCTGGAGACTGTTAGGGGCTGGATGGGGAGCAATGTGCACATGTGTCACCTCTCCTGCAAGAGCTGCATTGATTGCCGATTTGCTTCCGGGTGCAATTCAAGGTGCTGATTGTCACCTTTAAAGCCCTTCATGGCTTGGGTCCGGGTTATCTGAGGGAACATCTCTTGCTGGCCACATCTACCCCATTAGAGCGAGGAAGCAGGGAATGTTGCGGGTCCCATCCCTGAGGCAGATACACCGGGGCCTGCTCCATGGTGGCTCCTCTCTCTGGAATATCATTCCCCCAGAGATTAGAATGGCCCCCACTCTAGCACTCTTCCAAAAGGCACTGAAGACCTGGTTTTCACAGCGGGCCTGGGGAACCCAGAGCAGGATGGAGCCCATCAAATGGCTAGTGTGATCTGCTGTAGTCGGAGCGGGAGGTAGGAGTTGGTCCCCCCCCCAATTTTTTTGTTACATTATACTTTACTAATTTATTTGATTCTTTTTGTTAGTTTTTTTATTTTTTTATTTTTTGTTTTAAATATGGTTTTAAATTGTGTAAGCCGCCTCGAGTCGCCATGGGCAAATAGGCAGCAATATAAAACACATAAACAAACAAACAAATAAATAAATAAAGTGTATTTGACTAAAGAGAGGTCATTCTTTTGTAGAAACCACACCCTCCCCAGTCCATGGAAAAACTGCCCTCCACAGAACCAGTCTCTGGGACCCAAAAGGTTGGGGGCTATTGATGAATAACCAAACAGGCAGAAGACTAGCAAAACACATCCATGAACACCAACTAGCAATCAGAAGACATGATGAAAACTTAACTTAACAATCCATGGACAGACTTAATCATAGGACATGCTTCACCAACTGGGGAATCGTGATCATTCTAGACAAGTCAAGTCCAAAAACATTAGAGAATTCCTGGACACTTGACACTCTGGCAAATCAGCCATCACCAGGGACATAAACAACAACTGTATACCATTCAAGAGACAACTAACAAGCCAAAAAGGAAGTACAAAGACCAGACCACCTCTTCATCAATGATCAATACCCAGATTAGCAGAGATTAACACCAAGATTAATATTAGACCAACGATCAAACAGCAAGCAATGCCCTTATCAAGGAACTATCAAACAAGCTACAGTAAGCAGTCCAACCAAAAAACCACCAAGACCACTCCCACCAATGCTGACAGTCACAAAAATATAAAATTAGAGCAAATCCCACTCCCTACAAGCACTGATGATGTTACCTAGTTTGGGTAATAAAACATCTGTAAGAAGACAACAAAGCTTACAGAACACCAAGGGTCGCTCAGTCTTACTTAAATATTGTATGGGACATCACTAATAAGCAGTAGCAATGTGAAAATATGTTTAAGTTTAATATGTTTAACATATGTGAGTTGCTTTTTCTTAATAATTTACTTAATAAAAACATTTATTTCATTATTTATCTTGACCAGAAACTTGTTATCATTTTTATATTATTATTAATATTATACACAAAAAACTACAGTGTACACAGCAAACGAGATAACTATGCTGGGTTTTGTATCACAAATCAGTAGTTGAACACTGTGTGATGTATCGGCAGATTATGCAAGCAGATCCCAGTAAGGTGGCCTTCTGCAACTGACCAATGGTGATCTTGTCAGCGCCAATTGTTTTTAAGTGCTTGCCTAGGTCTTTAGGCACAGCACCCAGTGTGCCGAGTACCCCTGGAACACCTGCACTGGTTTATGCCAGAGTCTCTGCAGTTTGATTTTCAAGTCCTGATATCTGGTGACTTTTTCAAGTTGTTTCTTGTTGATTCTGCTGTCACCAGGTATGGCAATGTTGACAATCCACACTTTTTTCTTCTCCACAATCGTGATATCCGGGGTGTTGTGTTCCAAAACTTTATCAGTCTGTATTCAGATGTCGCACAGTAGTTTTGCATGCTCATTTTTGATCACTTTCTCAGACTTATGATTCCACCAGTTCTTTGCCACAGGCAGGTAGTAGTTGTGACACAAGTTCCAGTGGACCATCTGAGCGACTGTGTTGTGACGTTGTTTGTAGTCAGTCTGAGCGATTGTCTTGCAACAGCTCAGTATGTGATTGATGGTTTCGTCTGCTTCTTTGCAGAGTCTGCATTTGGGGTCATCAGCAGATTTTTCTATTCTGTCTTTAATTGCATTCGTTCTGATGGCTTGTTCTTGGGCTGCAAGAATCAGGTCTTCTGTCTCTTTCTTCGGTGTTCTGTTGGTCAGCCATAACCAGGTCTTTTCCTTATCTACTTTTCCTTGGATCTTTTCAAGGAACTGTCCATGCAGTGCTTTGTTACACCAGCTGTCAGCCCGAGTTTGCATCGCTGTTTTCCTGTATTGATTCTTGGTTTGCTGCACTTTGAGCAGCTTCCTATTGCTGCACTTTGAGCAGCTTCCTCCATCAAAGCTGGTTCAACACTGTCTTTCACATAATCTGCCAGCGCATGCTTCTCTTCTTTGACTGTCTGCTTCACTTGCAAAAGTCCTCTGCTGCCTGCTCTTCTGGGCAAATATAGCCTGTCAACATCACTATGCAGGTGCAGCGCACAGTGTATGGCCATCAGTTTTCTCGTTTTCCTATCTAGGCTGTCCAGCTCTGCCTGTGTCCAGCTTACAATCCCATCTGGTGATGGGTATGGCCTTGATTTATATTATATTTATTATATTATAATAAATATAATAAATATTTATAATAAATATTATATTATATTTATAGCCTTGATGGTGTTACCACCATTCAGTTTGCTTTTTAGAAGTTTTCTGACCCTTTGTGTGTGTTCTTTGCTGACCACATTTTTCACTTGCCCATGTTTGACATTGTCCAGCTGCAGTATGCCCAATTATTTGTAGGCTTTGGGTTGGTGGCACTTGATATTTTGTCCATTGGGCATTTCGATTCCATCACTTTCTACAATCTTCCTTTCTTCAGTGCCACTGTGGCGCATTTGTCTAGGCCGAACTCCATGGTGATGTCAGTGCTGAAAATTTGAACTGTATTGGTCAATGATTGGATTTCGATTTCTGATTTTCTATATAACTTCAGACCATCCATGTGCAGCAGGTGAGAGATTTTCTGTGAATTTTTAGTAGTTTGATAACCCAGGTTAGTTTTCTGTAAAATTGTTGATGGGGGGTCATGGCAATGATGAACAGCAGAGGTGCCAAAGAATCACCCTGGAAAATCCCTCTTTTGATGTTGACCAGTCCGTAGCTTTCACTTCTAATAAACAGTTCTGTTTTCCAGTGCTTCATCACATTTGCAGTGAAAGTGCCAATGTATTTGTATATTCCAATGACATCCAGGCACTTGATGTGCAGTAGTGAATCAAATACTTTCTTGTAGTCAATCCAAGTTGTATGCAGATTTGTTTTTTGGCTTTTGCAGTTCTCTAGAATCATTTTGTCGATCAGGAGCTGATCTTTTGTGCCTCTGTTTCCTTATTTGTTTCCTTTCTGCTCTCCTGGCAAGATGTTATTTGCTTTTCAGTAGTCCTGGATCCTGTCAGCTATGATGCCAGTCAGCAGCTTGAACATGGTTGGCAGACACGTTATTGGCCTGTAATTTGCAGGTGTTGCCCCTTTTGCTGGATCCTTCTGTATCTAGTAGGTTTTCCCAACTGTAAACCATTCACTGACGTTTCCTGTCTGCAGCATCTCATTGAATTGTTCGGCCATTTTTTGTGTGGAGGCTGGTTAGGTATTTGAGCCAAAAGCCATGCAGTTGATCATTGCCAGGCGATGTCCAGTTCTTGATTTTTTTTTTCACTATGTTGCTCATCATTTCAGTAGTTATTTCCAGTTGGTCCATTTTGTTCTTGGACAATTTCATCTCAAAGTTTCTGATCCACCCAGCATTTTTGTTGTAACATTTCATAGTGTCCCACAGGTCTTTCCAAAACTGACTAGTTGCAGTTTTCTCAGGGTTTTTAATTTTCGTATCCCCCGTCTGATTCAGACTCTGATAGAACCATCTTTGGTCTGATTGGAACAACTGATTTTGTTTGTACTGGATGACTCTGGCTTCGTATCTTTCAATTTTTCTTGCTGTTGCTGTTATCTGCTTCACAATTTCCAATGCTTCATCAATTTTTCTTGTGCTAAGCCTGTATTTTTTGATCAGATGTTTCTTGATCTTGCTGTTCTTCAGCTTTTTCTCCTGCAAATTCTTCAAGTTGCTTGCACCTGCTCGCAGTCTCTTGATTTTCAATTCCAACCTGATTTTCCACTGTGGTTTTCCAGTCAATTTTCTAGGGGGCTGCAGCTGTTGAATCCCAGTTCTTCTGTTACTATGACTGCTGTACTGTAAGCAAGCTAATTTGTTTGTTCAATTGATGTTATCTGGACTGCTGCAAGTGGATAATTCACACCTATCATCAGTGGTGCCAAATGTTTTCTAGGCAGAGTCTTCTACGTTGGAAGCCTTCTTCTTTCTGCATTTGATGCAGCATGTGCCAAGATTTTAGACTTCAGTTCTTGCTGCCTGGCATTGAGTACTCCTGGTGTTTCAATGATGACTTCAGGCCCTTGCTGTTCCTGTTCTTGCAAAATAGCTGCATTTTCTTCTTCTTCTTCTAACAACAACAACAATAATAATAATAATACACAAAAATGACAGCATACACAGCAAATGAGATAACTATGCTGGGTTTTGTATCACAAATCACTAGTTGAACACTTCCCAAGTGTTTAGGACTGTGTGATGTATCGGCAGATTATGCAAGCAGATCCCAGTAAGGTGGCCTTCTGCAACTGACCAATGGTGATCTTGTCAGCGCCAAGTGTTTTTAAGTGCTTGCCTAGGTCTTTAGGCACAGCACCCAGTGTGCCGAGTACCACTGGAACCACCTGCACTGGTTTATGCCAGAGTCTCTGCAGTTTGATTTTCAAGTCCTGATATCTGGTGACTTTTTCAAGTTGTTTCTTGTCGATTCTGCTGTCACCAGGTATGGTAATGTTGACGATCCACACTTTTTTCTTCTCCACAATCGTGATATCTGGGGTGTTGTGTTCCAAAACTTTGTCAATAATTAATATTATTGTTTAATAATAATAATAATAATAATAATAATAATAATAATAATAATAATATAATCTTGACCAGAAACTTTTGTGTATGTGTTTGCATATATACACACACAATTTTCAGATAGAACCCCCACACACAAATACATCATTCAGTGGCAGTGGGCAGTAGCACTGAACTCCAAGGATTCAACTTAAGATGTCTTTATATTATCTTTACTAATGTCTTATTGAGAGTGATATGTGGGATAAATTCAAAGACCCTCCCCCCCAACTTTCATTAAGCTCTCTTCAGCTGCAGACATGTAAGCAAAATGGGAGAAGGTTAATTTAACTGATCTATGCATGGAAGTAATGGATAATTTAAAGATTTGATTTCTTGTAACTGATATGACAGCTTTTGTGTATCTTTTTATATACATCACTGGCAGCATATAGACTGAAAATAGTCACTAATCAGGAAAATTAATACATAGAAGGCAGAGTGGGACTGTATGCATTGAATAGAGGTACCAACCACTATGTGTTCAAAAAGCTGAATGCCAATTGGCTATTTATGCAAAAGCCATTCCATTATTGTATTGTAATTGATATAGTTCCTTCAGTATATAAACATTTAAAATATGGTTTGGCAAAGAATTGCAAGAATTTTATAGAGAGTAGAAAAACCAAAACTAAGATTTTCTTAGTCTAAAACTGCATTGTAGAGAAAGCTGCCTATACAAACTACACAGTGATGGGATTCAAATTATTTTACTACTGGTTCTGTGGGCGTGGCTTGGTGGGCGTTGCAGGGGAAGGATACTATAAAATCTCCAGTCAGAGGTGGTATCTGCCGGTTTTCCAAACTACTCAAATTTTCTGCTACCCGTTCTCCAGAACTGGTCAGAACCTGCTGAATACCACCTCTGAAACTACACTAATTGAAGGAGCAGATATAGCTAATTAATTTCATAGGTAGCTGTGGTACAAGAAACAAAAGAAGAAAATAACTCAATAAGATAAATGTTTAAAATCTGGAACCTTTTAAAAGGAAGAGAAAATCTGACCTAACCTCACCATCAAAGAACATGGCAGAAGGACCATTTTCTTCTGAAGGATTTTTCAAAGAAGATAAGAAGATTATAAAATCTTAAAAGAGATTTACATCTGATTTCTAGAGAGATAAGGACAGAAGAGGATTTTTGAGTGAAGACATCACTTCTATGATTTGATTTTATTCTTATCATTTTCCCTTTTGTGAGAAATCTAAACTCAAAATTCAGTAATGGTAAAGATTTTACCAATCTGGAGATACTGGTTTGGAATATAATCCTATTTGCTTTATTGGGATCTAATTCCTGCAATCAGCTTTAATCAGTATTTAGTCAAGGTTCCATGATCTCTATTTAATGGATCTTTTTTTTGGGGGGGGGGGGGGGGCAATTACAAAAGAAATCCCAACATAAGGTTTTTTTACTCCAGGTTTTCAATTTTGGAATGAAACTTAAAAGACATTTGAATAGGGAAAATGTTTGGAATTTTAGTATAAAAAATAATATTAATACATATTGCAAAAGTATAGCCTTATCATCAGTTGTTCTTTTAAGGCATTTCTTTATTCATTTCTGCATCATACTGTATTATTTGGAGATCTATATATAGTATTATACTAACCTGGTATTGACTTATTTCCATATCAAAATATTTTACTATTAACAATATAATTTCTGCCAATTCTGTTGAATGAAAAGTGGATGTAAACCAACTTTTTGTCAAAAACGTATAGAAGTACAAAGACAAAAATCAGAGGAAGCCTAGTATTTATCATAATAATAACATATTAATTATATATTTACAATAATATATTTAATACAATTAATGTAATATATTAATTATATATTGATATAATATATTTATGTTAATTTATCATAAAGATCTTCTCACAAGTAACTATGCATAGCAGAAAATTAATTTAATTTTAAAAAAAGACTTGAAAGCAAAATCGGATTCTTATAAGTATGACTTTAATAATAAACCATCAAATTAGAATGACAAGTTAAAAAAAAAATAGACTGGGGGGCAAAATGCCAGGAGTGTTCAGTTCATAAAATCCAAAAACTTTTTTACATTCCACTGACTATGCTATCAGAATACTCTACTCACTAATTATGACAAAACAGGGGAATACAGAAGATAAACAACAAACCCAAATGTGAACCAAAACCTGCTACTTTTCATGATTCAATTTCATAACTGACATTTTTATCAAATCAAAATATTTTCAACAATATTAATGAAGAGCCAATTTAAAAAGCAAGCAAAATCATTTTTGAATCATCACAATTTGAAGCTAAAAATGGAAAAAAGGTAATATATCTCTTCAAGAAAAAGCTATTAAAATGATAATGTAAGTCTGTCAGGTGCAAATAATTTGAGGAGGAAAAATTGCACCCTGGGTAGATGGGAAAGAAATCAGGTTATAAACCTGATATTATAAAGAATTTACCACTGAATTTAGAAAAACAAACCCAAAATGATGAATGGGAATTTATAATCTTATGTTTTCAGGTTGAATTTGGGAGAAAAAATAGTTCAAATGTTGTGCACCAAGCGACAACAAAACAAAGTTCTGTGGAATATATTTTCATTCATTTCTTTAAAAATGCAATTAAGAAACATTCGTGAAGGTATTCAGAATACTCACAACAGAGAGCTTTCTGTAGTCTTCGGAGCTTCATGGCAGTTCTATATGCTGAGAATCGAACATTGTTCAAATCAGCTATGACACAAGTAAAAGAAAAGGACATGAATTATTTTATCATCAAGCATGTTTACTCAATGAACTTAAAAGAACTCCTACAGTATCTTTAAATGCAAACCAAATCACCTATCACTTTATATAAAACAAAAGAAAACCAGTGACTATAAAGAAATAGTACTATTACGCTCTGAACAAAAACAGCACAGTTTAGCCTGAGTAAAGTGCTATTTATAACTATAATTCTCTTCATATTAGTGGGAATATAGTCTATCATGCTCAGTGGGTATCACTTCTGTAAGAAGTAGAGCAATATGAATCAATTTTGTATATGTATGTGTGTTTCAAAAAGCAGCTTCAGTACTTTTCCAGAGGAAGTAGCCAAAACCACTCGCCGTCAGTTGGTAGCCTGGAAAGTACTGATAAGTAATGGGTGTTCTTATCTATGAACCAAGCCATCGTATGATGGGGCGGGGGCTAGGGTATAAGTATGTTGAATAAACTATGCTCGAGGTTCCATCCTGCTGCCTTGGATGTGAACCCGCTTCTGCAGAACCAAATAAATCAACTCGTGTTTGAAGATCCGTGTTGTGTCTTGTGTTTCGTGTGAATCGCAATCTCACAATTGGCGAGCCAGGCAGGAGCCTTCCCGGCGACCCTCGGGGTCTCGGGGACTGGTGAGTAGTGGCCACTCTATCTCCTCTTGTGAGATAAACCCTCCCCGATTCTTGAGAGGTTCCAGGAGGCTCCTCGAACCAGAAAACCCAGAGAGACACACGAACGGACTTCACCGGGTGTGAGAGAAAAGACGGTACCGAGAATAGCCAGAGTGGTCTGGGACCACGGAGAAACCTGAGTTGGGGACGCCCACACATCCGCAAACCTGAGAGAGGTCCCGGAGTGATCAGGTAATATTGTTCCTTTTTTTAAAAGTATTTTGGTAGGAATAAGAGTGAGGGATCCTTAAATTCTCAACGAAACTGAAGTGGGAAAAGCTTTAGGATTGGTGGGATATTGTAGAGCATGGATAGATCAATATGCGGTGTTGGCTCAGTTTTTGAATCAGAAACTGAGAGGCAAAGAAGAGCAAATTAGTTGGTCAGAAGGAGATAAGCAGAAGTGGGAAGAAATCAAGAGGGCGTTGGCCACTGCTCCGGTATTGGCTTTGCCTAACTTGAAGCTTCCTTTTCACTTGTATGTTTCTGCAAGATCAGGAGTTGCAGTAGGGGTGCTTGCTCAGAAAAGGGGGGGGCGTTATCAGCCCATTGCCTTTTTGAGCAAAACGTTAGAACCAGTTGTGAGGGGATGGCCTGTTTGTGTACAAGCAGTTGCAGCCACAGCAGTGTTGGTTGTTGAAAGCAGAAAATTGACCTTTGGGGGAGCACTTGTGGTGCATTCCCCACATCAAGTGACATCAGTCTTGAGTCAGTTGGCATCCACGTGGATGACAGAGGGAAGGATTTTGAAATATGAAACTATTTTGAGAACTAGTCCAAATGTAGTCATAGGGACAGACAAGAATTTGAATCCAGCTGAGTTTTTGGAGGGATCAAGGAAGGAGTGGGAAGTAGAAGATCATGATTGTCTATTACAAGTAGATTTAATGACAAAAGTCAGAGAAGACTTGGAAGAAACTCCTTTAGAAGAAGGTGAAAGATGGTTTGTTGATGGATCTAATAGAGTAGAGAGTGGTGTAAGAAGGTCAGGATATGCCATAGTAACTGGAGAAGGAGAGGTCATTGAGAAGGGGCCTTTGTCAACAAACTGGTCAGCACAAAAATGTGAACTGTTTGCATTAAAAAGGGCTTTAGAATTGGCAGAGGGAATAGATGTGACCATATGGACAGATTCCAAATATACTTGGGGAGTGGTCCATACATTTGGGAAGATTTGGCAAGAAAGGGGATTCATTAAATCACATGGGAAACAAATTGAGCAGTTGCAATTGGTCGAAGAAGTACTCGCTGGTCTACAGTTACCACACAGACTAGCCATAGTACATGTGAATGCACATCAAAAAGGGGATAGTCCAGAAGTTGTTGGGAATCGATGGGCAGATAAGTGGGCAAAGGAGGCAGCAGGAGAGTTGATATTGCAAATGGTGTCTATTCCTTTGCTGGAAGAAGAGCCACATGAGGAATGGAAACCAGATGAGAATGATAGAAAGAAATTAGAAAAAGAGGGATGTGAAGAAACTGAGAAAGGATGGTTTACATCTAAGGGAATACCAGTTTTATCGGGACCCCAAATGAGGAATGTGATGCAGTATTTACATGAGGGAAGTCATTGGGGAACTGAAGCATTGGTACAAGCCATAAAACCACATTATTGGAGTTTAGATATGTGGACAATAGTGCACTCCATTTGTTGGAAATGTTTGATATGTTTGAAAGTAAATAAAAGTGCATCCAAAAAGACAGATAGAGGAGGACGGCCATTAGCAGCCTGGCCGTTCCAGAAGATACAGATTGACTATACCGAATTGCCACCTAGTGGTGGATGGAAATATTTGTTGGTAATCAAAGATCATTTGACAGGATGGATGGAAGCCTTTCCTACGAAGCAAACTACAGCTTCCATGGTGACAAAAATCTTGTTAGAACAAATCATACCTAGATATGGCATGTTTGAAGTAATTGATTCAGATAGAGGTACACATTTTACACAGAAAATTCTTCAAGAAGTAATGAGGGCGATAGGGGTGAAGTGGGATCTACACACTCCTTGGCATCCTCAATCATCTGGAAAAGTGGAACGTGGGAACTTTGAAATTAAGAAACATTTGACAAAATTGCATTTAGAAAATGGATTGCCTTGGACTAAGAATTTGCCTCTGGCTTTATTAAGAATTAGAACTTGTCCTAGAAAGGATGTGGGAGTTTCACCTTTTGAAATGTTAATGGGCCGACCATATCTTACAACCCTTGGGGGACCCATACCAGAATTCAGAGATATGTTTGTGAAAAAGTACTTGCAGACACTGTCCAGGTCTCTATTGTCTCTTCACAAACAGGGACTTTTGGCACAGCGACCACCGCTAGTAGGAAGTCAACATCCCTATGAAGCTGGTGATTGGGTGCTTGTGAAGACCTGGAGGACTGAGAAATTGCAACCCAGCTGGGAAGGACCATACCAAGTGCTTCTGACTACTGAGTCTGCTGTCCGGACGAAGGAGAGTGGATGGACTCACTACAGTCATGTGAAAGCAGCTCCAGAACCTAAGAAGCCTTGGAGAAGTCACCCAGTGGAAGGACAACCTTTGAAACTGACTTTTAAAAGATAAAATCATGTATATGTTTCTGTGTATTTCAACTGTACTTGTGAGTGTTTTTGTCTTACAACAGGTTGAGGAAGCAGAAACTGAACAATCTCGATACGTTCAGAGAGCAGGGGATCTTGGGGAAGATCTCTGGACGGATAATTGCTATATCCAAGACATAAGAGCAACGGCTAAGAGTTTGAATGTTACTGATTGTTGGTTATGTATGCATTTACCTGGGAAAGCTAAAGAAGGAGTGATTTTACATGGGGTACCACTAACACAACAGATGATGGTGCCACGAGGGGAAACCAAAACTGGACCTGTAAAAAGAAAAATGACTAGGAAAGTATTTGTTCATTTAAGAGAAACGGCTTATGTTTGCTTTAAAAGGAATGTTACTGAAGGACCATTTCTTGGAGATTGGGAAAAGTGTAACAAGACATTGGAAATGCCTAAAACATGTCTTAATCATAGTATAAGTACCAGTTATAGATGTAAGAATGAATACATGCCAGAGTATACATATTACTGTCAGATGTCTGTTTACTTTGAGAACATAATCAATTGGACTAGATATTCAAACATGCCTTGGGCTATGGAAAATAATAGATGGATGCTGTGTGGAAAACATGCTTATAGAGAAATACCAAAACTATGGTCAGGTACTTGCACCATGGGTTTTGTATTACCTGTAATATACAAATTAGATAAATTGCCAAATACACGAATTAGAAATAAAAGAGAGTTAGATCTGGAATACATCATAGATCTTGGTATGAGGGTACGGCCAGAGCTTTAATAGCCCCACTTGGAATAGGGATGAATTATCGAGATATTACCAGATTAAATAATTTTACAGTTGCTATGTTTAATGACACAATTAGAACAATTAAGGTGATTAATGAGGAATTATCTGAGGTAAGACAAGTAGCTTTGCAAAACAGATTTGCTTTAGATATTGTGTTAGCTGCTAAAGGGGGAGTGTGTGCCTTAGTTCATTCACATTGTTGCACCTATATACATAATTATGAACCAAACATCACTAGAACTGTAAAAGATATGGAAGAAAGAGTGAAAGAGTATCAGAAACAATGGGATGAATCTGGAATAGCAGGTTCATTGTGGGATGCATTATGGTCTTGGCTGCCAGATGGTAGTTGGTGGAAATCTATTTTGACAACGGTTATAACAATCATAGTAATCTTGATTGCTTTATGTTGTTGTATTCAATGTTTGCCTAATTTGATGCAAATGATGATATCTGCCTGTGATAAGATAAAATTTAGTAAGCCAGAAGAAACAGAAAAATTGTTGTATAATAGAAAGGATGAAACTGCCATTTCGAAAAGAATTGATAAGGACTTAATTGCTTTTGAAACAGTTATGATCCAGAAAAGGGGGGATTGTAAGAAGTAGAGCAATATGAATCAATTTTGTATATGTATGTGTGTTTCAAAAAGCAGCTTCAGTACTTTTCCAGAGGAAGTAGCCAAAACCACTCGCTGTCAGTTGGTAGCCTGGAAAGTACTGATAAGTAATGGGTGTTCTTATCTATGAACCAAGCCATCGTATGATGGGGCGGGGGCTAGGGTATAAGTATGTTGAATAAACTATGCTCGAGGTTCCATCCTGCTGCCTTGGATGTGAACCCGCTTCTGCAGAACCGAATAAATCAACTCGTGTTTGAAGATCCGTGTCGTGTCTTGTGTTTCGTGTGAATCGCAATCTCACACTTCTAACAGACATTTCTAACAATTAC